AACGTCTCAGGTTACTTATGTAACCATGGTTCCCTGAGTAGGGAACGAGACACTGCGTCCTCTAGGTTTCTTGCCATGCTGCGGACATAGCGACCCCTAGAGAACGAACTCAGGGAACCATGGTTACATAAGTAACCTGAGACGTTATGTCAGTGGTTCTCAAAGTGCGGTGTTCAGGCTCCCTCTAGTGGTACACAGAGGAACCACTAAATTAAATATAAATTAATGTTAAAACACATTACATTTGAATTTAATCTTTATTTGAGTAAAGTGTTTCTCTTTTTTTACATTTAAGTACATTTTTATTTAACTTTTAGGTACAGCATATTTTAATTGATCCATTATTTAAGTTTTTCATTTACCTGTATGTAAGCACAGTGCAGTGTTAATGTTCAAACTGTGTATTTACAATGTTAAAGTGGCTGACAACAATAAATATTCTTATGAGGGATAAAACTGCCTCGTTTTTGAACTGTGCAGAGCTGTAGTTGAATAGTTAGGACTACTACGCTACTGTGTTTTAATGCTGGTCTTTACGGTGGTACTTAGAGAGCCAAATATTTGCTGAGGTGGTACTTGGTATAAAATGATTGAGAACCACTGAGTAACGTGAAAGTTTGTGAAAACAGTTATGTACATGTGAGGATTGTTTACGACATGTTTACTTTCTCACTTCTCCTTTTTTACATTTGATGTTTTTCTCTGTTACTCCTTCCTTTCGTCTCTTTCGCCTCATCTGTCCTTCTCCTCCTCTCTTTTACTGTCAGTTCTGGTTTGCCCATCTTTGCGTGTACATAACGCGGTTTTCTTTCTGATGCTTCAGGATGAACACAACAGGCAAGGCCATCACTGAAGGTAAAGACAGAGGAGGAGTTAATCAAGTGCTGATATTTGTCTGGACAACAGTTAATATAATATTTGAAAAGAGAAAAATGGGTATCTATCACAGTAGTTCATACAGACCAATAGTTATGCATATAATATACAGACTGTGTGAATTGAAGCAATAGTTTTTGTAATTGCGGGTATGCGTAGATGTTTAAATATTTGAGCATATTAAACTACAACTTATTTAAACATGGAATACATTGAATGTTGTTTTTGGTCTCTACTAATTGCCATGTAGTTTTTCCACACTGTTAGTTTAAGTCTAAAATATCTATACATTTCTGGTGCTAGATAGTTTGTGTGCATGTTTGATGGTTAGAGCTTCAGCAGTGTAACCATCACTTCAGAGAAAATACAGTTGCAAATGTTTGTTTCTGGGCAGTGTGTAAAAGAAAGGAAATGTGTGGCAGCTGCTGAGAAAACTACACGCAGTCCCTCCCTTGGGATCTGTCTGTGAGTGTGTGTGAAAAGAAACAGAGTAAGACTGAAAGTGTGAGGGTGTCACATGAAGCAGATCTAGAAGATGATGCTGTTTTTCAAAAGAAATTTGTCAAACCAAGTGACAAATCCACAATTCCACAAAAGTCATTACATTATTTTTAGAGTGTTTCTTCCTTGTAATTTCACTAATGAACAAGGTTTATATTTTAAATCTAAAGAGATAAAATCTATTTGTTTTAATTCAATTATTTTGATTCAAATGTTAAAATCACAGAATTAACACATCACTCGAAAAAAAATTAGTCAAGGCAACTTTTGTTTTTTTATTACTTTAAGTGAATCAAAATAATTTAACAAATTTCACTTTCCTTTTTTAAGTTATACAAGATTCAACTCGATTTTTTAAAAGCAATTTAAGTTGAAATGACTTAAAAACCAAAAGCCAATCTGAACAGCAACTGATTTTTTTATTTTTATTTTAACCCTCATTCGTCATTCAGTTCAAGACTTGGCTACTTTTCGTAAGTTTACCACATGAACACACACACAAAAAAAGAGGACTTGATTCAACAAAGTTAATTTGTCATTTGTGCCCAAAAATGGGCACCCATAGGAAATTAATGGGAAATACTAAAATTCAATTAATTATATTATAATTAAATATAACATAAAAATAAACATGTTTTACATAAAAATATGGCACTTTTAGAGGTAAATAAATGAAAAAAACACCAAAAATCACAAAAGAATTTGCATAAATTGATAGTTTTTATTTTATCGAAGACAGTGATATGACATTTACTTAAAAAAAAAAAAATTGGGATCACAGCTGAGATCTTCGTGCCCAAATTTGTCCACGAAGGACAAATTAAGGGCTGCTATATGAAGGATGCTTGAGGGTTAAACAGAGTTTGGCCTAATAGTGATCAGAATCAGAATCAGAATGAGCTTTATTGCCAGGTATGTTTACACATTCGAGGAATTTGTTTTCGTGACAGAAGCTTCCACAGTGTAACAGAATGACAGTGACAAAACAAAAAACACAGATAATAACAAATAAAAAAATAGAACAAGTAAATAAGGAATAAAAATATATAAATCGACAATTGTATGTGCAGGTATATTACAATAGACAGTTTTGTATGTACAGGTACTGTATATTATGTGCAAATTTTAGGTGTAGACTAGTGTTGTCAAAAGACCCGGTATTTCGGTACCAAGTCGGTACTAAAAAGATGAAAACGTTACGGTACCAGGTTTTCTTAAGTACCGGTGGTACCGAGTACCCGGTCAACCCGGTTCTTGATGCGCTATCCGAAAGCGATCCTCTTCCAGTGTTGCCAAGTCCGCGGTTTTCCCGCGGAATTGGGCTGCTTAACACTGTTGCCGCGGGTTGTTTTTCATGTCCGCGGGTTGAAAAACGACCCCATTAACGTGATATTTAGCCCCTGGAATGCGAATGTTACCAGGGGAACCCCGCCAAAACA